TAACTTTATAAATTCTCACATTAAAATATGAAAACCAAAATTTCACTCTAAAAAATCTCTGTTGGCAACTGTTACCACTACAACCACTTCTTTCAATCCCATACAAACTAAAAGAGAAATCTTGTTATGTGTCACCCAATAAAAGGAAATATTGATTCTGTAATCAACACTATGTACGATTTCACAGATACTGTTTAAAACTGAATTGAATTCACATACCAATTCCAGTACACATAGAGTCATGTTGTTGTACCCAAATATAACTTCACAAGACATTATCTGCTAAAAATATAAATTTTCCTAGTCGAAACTTCCAAGTCCCTACATAGACAAATACATAAATCTAGATATACCATTTCAATCTTTCTATGCACAATCTGCATATATGACATTATCGATTCTGGTATTACATATTCTACCAAATAGCCAACGCCATGTAATTTGGTTGTCATGGAAACAGTAATAAACGACATATCATCAACACGTATAACTGGAATGTATTCTGCAACTTTAAGCTTTCTCCTCTGGAAATGAACCTAATATAGAATACATATATACAAATGCATTCATCATATGAATATAAAGGAAAATCACATTTACCATTTCTAATGAATATAGAGTTTGTTTAGAAGATTGAAAAACAAAAACATTTACTTTCCAATATCATGCAAACATAAATTACACCATGTCAGTCCTGCATAATGGTATAATCCATTTTCGTCTAAAATCTTGTTCTTTGACATTCTCTGAGTTATTAGAGGATCAGAATAATATGTATTTCCTCTTATGACTAAATATCAACTTTGTCTGACAACAGTTTTTTCTCTTACTTAGAACTTCTTCTGAAACGCTGTCCTTTCCTCAAATTTCTAACCAAAGTCTCTAAAAATTCTCTGAAAGTTGCTCAAATGTTGACACTTTGTCCCTGATGCTGAAGCACAAAAATTCCTTAATTTCTTGACTGATCAATGATACTCTAATAAGCGAAAAAGGATCGATGTCAGTTCCGCTTTCTGGTTTTAAGAACACAAAACACAAATACCTCTACAATTGGCACGGGACAGCGCTAGGCTTGACCCCTCATCTTAGAAACACTAAAATGTCTTCAAGAATCTGCCTCCAAATTAAATAGAGCTTTGTAACCGGTCTCCCCTCAGTACGCTGGTTCAGGTCTTCACTTCACACTGTCGATCGAAGCCTTTCTCTTCTGGCCATGTCTGAAGGACTCTTCCCAAAGGCCAAACATTGCGGTGTGAGTGCTCGTCGACTGACAGTACCAAATCGTAAACCTGGATGATGAGGGAGGTATCGACATGTTACGTCACCTGGTTGACAATCTTGCTCTTCCACCTCCTCGACACAACCTTCAGTGTACTTGTAGTGCAGAGCGTGATCTCTACCTAGCTTCCTTCTGAGACTCCGCAACCTTTGTTCTGCTACCCATTGGTTGTCTGTCAAGCTACATGTAGGTCGTTTCTCCTTGAAGGGTATGTGAAACTGGTACTGTTCCATCTCTTTGCACTTCCCTTCATTCTGTATGTCAAGTGCCTTTCTGTCCTTCACCGACATTCCTTTATTGTCTGGAATAGCAGCAGCAGGGCCATGCAGGGACCATCCAAGTACAGTACGTATAGCAAACAGCTCATCTTCTCCCTTTCCTCTACGAACCTCTAAGGGCATCAGAGCAAATGGTGCATCTTGCCCTATTAGGAGTCCCACTTCTTGTCCGCAGGCAAATGATAGATCCAGCCCTTCGAAATGCTGCCATCCTTCTAAGTCTCGCATACTGGCCATGTGGTTGCTGCATATGTCGGTCTTCCTGTTCGTGAAAACCTTCTGAAGCTTCACTCTATCTGTCATGAGACCTGTGTCGACCATACGACTCACATCTTGAATCTGGATCCTTCCATCAGGATTGTCCAAGGTTGATATGGAAAGTATGCGCTCTTCCCCCTGTGATGACACTTTCCTTACCGGGCTCTCTGTGCAGAAGGAAGTGGTCGAATCAGACTCCAGTAAAGCGTAGGTAAGAACACATCTATCTCCATCTGCTGCCTGAACATGCACTGGACCTATGGGAAGTACACATCGCATACCGGCCCCTATGGCGATTCCATAACATGCTTCTGACCCAGTTAGTATGGAGCCATTCTGTTCTGTGGTTTCACTCTGATTAGTGGTGGTATCATACTTCAAGGGCTCTCCATGCTGGGAGAAGTCCTTGTCTGTTACAGTAGCGCTGACCATGTTGGGTTGCAACTCTGAGGGCCGTCTCAGCTGGTAGACACCCTTCTCTAAATCTGTAGCCATGCTGGGCTCCGTCGTCAAGGCCCCTCTTCGTTGAGAGACATCTTCACCTGCAGCAGCAGTCATGCTCTCTCCATGCTGGGAGAAGTCCTTGTCTGTAGTGCTGACCCTGTTAGGTTGCACCTTTGAGGGCTGTCTCAGCTGGTAGACAGCCTTCTCTAAATCTATAGCCACGCTAGGCTCCGTCGTCAAGGCCCCTCTTTGTTGGGAGACATCTTCATTTGCAGCAGCAGTCATGCTCTCTCCATGCTGGGAGAAAACCTCTTCCTCAGCTTTTGCCATGCTGAGTCTTGTCTGTAGCTCAAGCTTACTCCTTCTCTGCTTCAGCTTAAACTCCTCCAGTTCAAGAGCTTGTTGTTGATGGAGAGCTGCTGCCTGGGCTGCCAAGGCCGCTCTCTTCACCATTGCTTTGACTCTAGCTCTGGAGGTACTGCTCGTGCTGCTCTTGCCAGTCTGGCTTGCTGAATCCCCGGGCTTGACGGACTCTTGATGGGACATATCGCTCATGTTGACTTAAAGCACTGTTGTTGAACTTAATGTAGCGTATAACCAACCAATCGGACTGACTGCACTTCAATAAATAGCGACAATTTCAAGCATGATGCGATACCGTTCACAAAAGGCGGTTCAACCTGAAATTTAATCAGAATTATAAACAATCATAAATAATATGTCGATTTTCAACTGTGTTTACAAATAATCTTGCATCAAATGAGTTATATGATTAATGCACGTTTACTGAAATTACATATTATACTGTTCCAAAATGAAATATCAATGCCCACTAATTAGTATGTTCTATTTCCTTATAGCAGATGAATAAAAACCTTTAAGATACCCTAATATGGCTGCTTCAATTTCCTTTGTTCACTAATATTTGTGTGCATGATAAAACACTAACCCTTTTGGCTCTACACATATTACCCTATATTCCTCTATATATATACATGTCTACAGTTACCAGAATTTATCTACATTCTGTCACTTTATACAACTGCCTATATATAAATGATATTAAAATAACACAACACGGTCTGTACAACAGACTATCCCCATAGCACTACACACATGCACGGTATTATGTAACTGCACGTGTAATGCATCATAAAAGTTACTGTGCGTACGAATCACTTTCATAACAAATTTTATACATCAATTATCTGAAAACTATGAACTGTATAAAACCAACACCCAACTCAAACTGACGGCTAGTTATCAATTATCAACATCATATGTTCAAATTATACTCACAACATTGGGCTTGTCTGGAAATACTAAATATTGATCGCAATCAGAAGGATGACTTTTCCCAAAATTGAGAATCATTTGCAGCTAAATTGTTACGCCCCCACTCGGCAGACCAAAAATTCAACCAAAAAAACATCGCTTCTGACGTCATACTCCGATCGTCAACTAAAACAAAAATGTCCTCACAAACAGAGATTAGTATCTTACAATATGTATGCAGGACAGCACACCAACAGGAATACACTTGTATTTTTAGATATTTGCATAGAAAGCGACAACTATCGGCCAATGGACACACATATTCGGGGACGCATGGATGTGGGTTGCGTGTGTGTGTGTGGTTGTGTGTGTGTGGGGGGGGGGCATGGGTGTCGATCCTTACGTAATACCTATTCATCAGGGGGGGGGGGGGGGGTGAATGAATAGATCATCCCCCCTGATGAATAGGTATTAGTTACAGATCGACACCCATGGTGGGGGGGGGGGGGGGGGGGGGGGGGGGGAGGTGTATGCTTGTGTAGAATATAAAGAGGAGAGGCTATAGAAATAAAGACACTGAATAGACGAAGAATTCAAATCAATCAGACTTCGGTTTTATTGTCTAAATAACTCAGGACAAAAGTCAGAAGACTACAAAGGAAGCACCACTAATTAAATATACTGTAGTGTAATATGTATGGATGTACAATTTGTTATAATCAGTTGCATAATAGAATAGCTTGAAAATGGCATCAATGCCAGGATATTGAAAATTACAATCATGATAAAGAACATTCGGACATTTGAACTGTACTTAAAATGATGAAAACAGCAATACCCTCACTTTATTCTGGTTTTGAAAAAACAAAGACAATAAGTTCTGATATTTCAACCAAAATATAAACAAGCCCAACACAAATATGTGAATATTACCCCCAGAGTTAACCTATGGGGTTACACTTCAAATATAACATGGAAATCAGATTATTAACTCTAGACTTGCAAGTCTTGTTGCAACTCTACTACTCCTCCTCTCCTCCTTTGACTATCTGAAACTCGGTTCTGTAATTGACCTACATTCCCCTACACTTCTGTAGCTTTTCTTTTTATAAACTCAATTCACTGGGATTAGGTCCTGCAGTAACCTCGATATATCCCCCAATAATTCACTTTGCATCCCATGCTCTTTTAACGTGCACAGACCTGTATAGTAGATACATGTCAATATCCAAAAATATGTACCTCCTTAATTAAATTTCTTTTCAACTCAAAACTACTTTTGTTTCATTTAAAAAAAAAACACAATACATACATACATACATACAATTGTCTTTTATATAGCGCAACATCCAACGAATTGCTCGAAGCGCTTTACAGAAAAAATGACATAGTAAACACAAGATAGTACATGTATAAAAGAGTAATTATAATAACAAACAAAAATATTAGAATTACAATTTACAATAATGTACATTTGTCATTACAAAGAAAAGAAGAAAAAAAAAATGACCAACGTCATTTCCAAAAGTGAATTCAAATCTCCCCTGCTTCAGAGAGTCTCTAAGAAAAATTAAACATGCCTCTCTTTAATTCATGTTCAAGTCAGTCAATGGCAATCCAAATACTCTTCGGATATTAACCAATTTAACCGTAAGACGTCTCAGGACATTCGACACATCCAACGCGTATATCATTCAATAATGACAATCAATTTCGCTTGTAGTTATAACTCATGTCGTCGTCACTACTTTTCCACGATTTCTTTCGCTGTATGTCTCAAAAGTTTCATTTGTAGCAAAATCAAGATGGTATGATACAGCTCACCATTAGTTGTTCCCTAGTCATTGCCGGTGACGTTGAACCAAATGTCTGTACGTTCTTGCGAAAGGTTTAATAAGCTCCAGGCACTTTACAGCCCACTAAAACAATTGGCTCTTTCTGGACCCCATGGAAGACTAGTAGTGTCGTGCCTGGCATAGCTGTATATTGGTTATCCAGCCGTTTCATTCATACTTTTGTATATACTTTTATTGTAATGTTTGTTTTTAATCAAACGGAAAATAAATGCTACCAGGTTTCGAGGTCGGACGTGGTCCCAACATCGTGCGCTATCTTAATTTCAGAGTGCATACATACATTTTCTAGTCAGTGTTCATACTCTAAACATTAATTGACATATATATATATATATATATACTTATTCATTGTATTAACATAGAACGACTGGAATTAAACTATCTTTCACAGCTTCATAGCTATATTTCCCTGACATTTATATAATGCCATCATACATTAACAAATAACTAAGTGATACAATGTAAAATATAACATTCAAATCGCTTACCAATGATTGCATTATCAAAACACTCAAATATATCAGCCATTTCTGCTAAACAGAACCCAAACCGTCTGTCTCTTGACATTAAAAGAAACTCAGCAATTTCTGCCCAAGGGGAAATCATAAACAAATCCGCAATATCTGCAGAGCAGAACCAAATCCTGTATGCCTCTTGGCTTCAAAATTGAGGTGTGGCAAAGTCTCAGACTGTACCAACCCTCTATGTACACGAAATGTGTGGAACCCGAAACAGGTGCTTAGTCATACCATCCTATTTATCAACATAATACTTTTGCCAGCACAATAATCCCTGGCATAGCTGGCATAATAACTCCCTGCCATTAATATGGCTCATTCCAGACCTTCACTTCAACATTTACTACTAATTACATATACTTCTTTCTTCACTATAGAGATAAAAGACACACACAAAATAAAAGAAAATATTGATGTGCATTTTCAAAATCACAATATACAATATAATTTCTAATCTAAACAGAACGGACATTCATAAAACAAAATAACAACACATTTAAAATTACAATGAAAAGTACAAATTTAGCAAGTAATCGAAAGAGATCACACAAAAGTTGCCACAGGCGCGCGGCCAAACATGTCACACCTTCATAAAATCTCACAAGCTCCCAGTTCTTGACCCGAACAGTTCCAAGGTCAAGACCCACGGACTCTGCAGCTTGGTGAAAGGTCAGGAGTTTAGCACGGCGTGCTATTGATTCAGCAAGAGATGCATCCGGGTTGTCTCTTTTCACGAGAGCCTCAAGCTCACCAACTCGTGCGACACGCTCAGACAACGACTGGTCTGAGCGTCGAGAAGTACACTCTTCAGTGACTACAGAAGCATTGGCTGATAGGTTTTCAAGGAAGTCATCGTGGCACTGGATGATTCCTTCCAGATCTTCGCAGAGCGATCTCTGATAGGTGTTGCACTCTTCAAGCAGTTGATCTTTCCTTCGTCGTATTCGCCGAACAGCGCCCTCAAAGACATTCTTGATTTCTTGCCTTCGTTGACCGATAATATTTTCAACCTTGCCAATCCGCTCCTCCACAAAAGACGATTGTCTCTGTATCAAAGCAGTTTTCTGTTCTATTTTTTCCTGCAAAGAATCAACTGCTGCTTTGTGGCCCTCTTCATACTCTTCAATTCCAATGACCTTATGCCTGCCAGGCTGGTGACCCACTTCCAAACACCTACTACAGATACGAACCAGACATGACTTTGTGATACACACGAACTGCTGCAGTTCTCGAGGATGTTCTGGACACGCAAGTTGTATTCTGATTTCCCCTGACGCGATGTCTCTAGCACTAACAAGCTCGTGGAAGACATTCTTCCTAAACCTTTTGTGTTGCTCAAGACAATAATCGCAGAGGAATTCTGAACAATGCTGACAGTAGAAGGTAGCAAGTTCTTGATCATCAGCATCACACACGGTGCAACGTTGGCCAGAAGAAGCGCCATTCGTTAAATAGGCCGTTCTCCTCTTGTCCGATCCCCCCTTGAAAACTTCTACAAGGGACTTGGCAATTTGATTGGTCGGAAAGTAGGATACGTTATTGTAGGATACAGGTGCAACAGAGCGACACACAGGGCACGGTATCTGATCGGGCCAAGCTTGAGTAGAGTGGACTTCGGTTAAACAATCTTCGCAAAATGTGTGTGAGCAAGGTAGAAGCTTCGGCTTGGTAAGAAGACCCATGCAGATTGGACATATCAGACTGTCTCTCAGATGTTTCCTTGCAGAGGCCATAATGCTGACACGTGTCTAGTAGGAAACAAAGAAATCCGTAAAATGAGCGAATGTGCTGTAAATTAATAAATAATCTCTTGTCAATCAATCACTGTATTAAACACCAATCATACAGACCACTGCCAAATGGCCCGGTCCCACTGGCCGATGGACACAAAACGTATGCATAAAGGACACAGCGGACGAGCAAAATTTCGCGGGTGGCTCCATCCGTTTTCATCCGCTCTAGAAATGGACAAAATTTGCGAAAATTTGCGAAAACAGAACGGAAAATAACGGACGTAGGTAGTATGTAGCGGGGATGTTAAACGGATGTTCATCGGAAGCCTAGCGGAGGAAAGCGGATGGAAGTGGATGACAGCTTTGAATACTTTATATACGAGATGCATACGCTTACATCCTTTCTATTTCCGTGCTACTAACGATGTATAGACGTTCCATGTACCTTATCTTTCCTCCCTCTTTCCGTTTTCAGCTGCAGCGGATGTGAGTTGCAAGGATGCCCAGAGGATGCAGAGAGGATATAGCGGACGTTTAACCGATGATAACGGACATAGAACGTTTGTTGCTCGTATTTGTCGCGGATTTACATCGTACACGGCGGAAGTTCATCCGTTCTAAAAGTTTTGTGCAGCTCAAAACTTTTTGCGCGGATGAAATCACAGTGGACGGATGCTCGAAGGATAGAGCGTATGAAACACGTATGCAATGAGTACACAGCGGATGCATAGCGTTTTTCCAACGGATGGCAAGATTTGTTTACGTTTTACATCCTCTTTGCATCCGTAAGTGCAGTGGGACCGGGCCTAAACTCACAAATCCTCTCTCCTAAGTCTCTAACATATAGAGCTCCAAATTGATACCTCTCACACAGTGTAAGTCCAGTCCAGCTATGAATGTGTTTAATTGTACATGTAGCATTTTGTCCATGTGCAGCCTCATGCAAAGTATATTCAAATTAAAAATATATTATCAACCAATATCAAAATAGGATTTAAGACTAAAACGAAATATTCAAGGAAAGGAGAAGAGAACCAATGACAAGTAAAACGTGGAAATATGTAAATGAGAAGAGAAGATACCACCTGTTTTAAGAGTTGCTATGTGGTGGAGATAAATGGATGAAATGAATATGCAAATGATGTGAAATGAATAAAACGCATGGTGGAGATGAATGGATGAATTAAATATGCAAATGATGTGAAATGAATATGTATGGGGAGACTAGAAAAACAAATAGTAATAGGCCATTTTCGTAATGTTACCAATTTTAATGCATAAGTGCTTGTGAAGTGGCTCAATACAAGTTATTTCATTCACCTGATAGGAATAATAGTATTTCAATAGGCAGAATGCAACTGCATATATATAAGTGTTGCTAGGTAGGTCAATCCATAATGTTTGTCCAACCTGACAACAACTAATGTATGCAGTTTGGATTCTGTCTATTGAATTAATATTATTCTTATCAGGTGAATGAAATAATTTGTATTGAGGCACTTCACATAGACGTATGCTTTAAATTTCGTTACATTACGAAAATGGCGTATTGTGACAAATACAAGTAGGGAATGAGTCTAATTTTAACTCTTACAGTGTCAACAGCTGTCAAAGTGTGTTAATTATACTATTGCGATGGCCCGGTAATATAACAATTAAAAACAAAATCTATAGAATCTGATTCACCCAGCCTACCGTCGAAATGTGGAATACCTGATCAGATAATACACAAGTATATCATGTTTACTAGATTATTTATCTCCTTCACCGATATGATGATAATGCATCAATATTTATTGTAAGTTTTTGAATGATAATCAGAATATTAAATATACACATGAACAATGTATTACATGCTCAGCTTCTATTAAACCCCCTTTCCCGGTACCAAAGGCATCATCTTATTCCTGTCTTCTTTTAATTACACTAAGCTGTTATTTGAGAGCAGGAGTTAATTTCAGCATGAGTTCAGAAAAAGAGCAGAGTTTGAGAGAAGAAAATGTGTAATTACACTAAATTTGACACCCAAGATTTTACTCTAAAGGATGTTGATAGTAGCTACATAGTCCCACGCATTTATTTACAATACATGAATGATATTATTGTTGGTACGACACGTATGTTCTCTTGTACAACATTGGTCCAAAACATGGCACCTAACCTTTAGCAAGAAGTCAGCAACATTCTATCCCATTATACTCACATCATGTGCAGTGTCTGAGGAACCCTGTAATGGAGTTCAACGATTTAGATATCTCAGTTCTCAAAATGCTCCCTTCGTTACATCACCGTGTGCATATTTTATGATCAAGCAACTTGTTAATGTCTAATTAACTCCTGCTAGCTATAGGCACACAGGGTCCAAATGTGAGATATAGAAATGTAAACATTGTAGGCCAATGGGCAAAACGAAAAACAGTCTGTTGTAAAGTACACACTTGTTCTGTTGTCACATGATAATACCATTTAGTATCACAGCAGATATACATGTACGTAATTGAACTTCCGACCTAATAGTACCTTCCGATTTCGTTAAAGGTATAGACCAGTTTTGGAAACGCCTCCCTCTCAAAAAATGAAATGGAAGCTCTTATTACCAATCATGTAAAATAAAATGTTTTGTATAATACGTGATGATACAAATTTTGCCGGGAAACCGCCTACTAATCGGTATATTTGGTAAATTATTATATCCATCCGGACTGGATAGATATCGCCTAGTCCCATATACATCTTTATGTGTACAGTGCTTGTAACTTTACCAAGACTGGGTCAAATTTCGTATCATTTTGATGATTCTAGAACCTTGCAGTACACACCAATACTCGTATGCTAGAGCTATATGATCAACCTTTTCTGATCGATTACACAACGTTTCTTTCACAATGCAATCGCATGACCAGAACTGGTCTATACCTTAAAACGCTGGGATTGTGCGCTTGGTTTTTCCCACGAACACTCATTGCCTCGTCGTTTCTTTCTCTCTCCCTCCCCCTCTCTTTCTCTCTCTCTCTCTCTCTCTCAACCTACCTCACTCTCTCTTTCTCCCTCACTCTCTATTTCTCTCACTCTCTCTCCCTCTCTCTGATTCATCGCCATTTCGGAAGGAAAATAATCATTCTAATGCGACTTTCAATAACAACCCGATTCCCCTCACAGGAAGAGTGACAGGCAATAGTGTATATTCAGTAATTTCTAACAATTTGTATTTTATAAGTTTATTTCAGCATCACAACTCATCTTTTAGATACGAGAAACAGTGACATATCCATAAAGACTGTAGTCGAAGTTTGATGCCCGCTGCTCCCCCCCCCCCAAGAAAAAAAAATACGATTAGGGATTAATGAACGTGTGCGATGAACAAGGAATCGCATCCCCTTTTTTAAATCGTTTGATACACCACTATTATATGAGGCCCTTTAGGTGCTAAAACATTGGTCGGTCGGTCGGAAATCTATTTTCCCCACTCTTTTAAACTTTTTTTTCCCACTCCGTCTTTGGGCTGATGTTTCTCAGTTTTGAATGCTTTAATAATTTTTTTCTTATAAAAAACGGTTAAAAAAAAACGACCGTAGATTTTAAGATTTTTGGGTCGGTCGCAAAGGGCAATACAACCTGCTTTTTGTTTAGGTCTGATGGAAGTTGTCAATGTCAAGAATATTTTTCTTCAAAATAGTGAATTGATGAAGACGTAGATATGAACAGTGTAACATGTGAAGAGGCCCACACTTAATGTCACCTGTTTGACATGCTAGAATGTAAAAAGTGCGTCATTTTTTATATATTTTTTTTTTTACTGTAGTTAATACATAATTAGAAGCGTGAAATATCTATACAAAATTTAAATATGTAATAATTTCCTTTTCATATTCTAGTATGTTTATGTACAGTTATATAAATATGAAAAACTACGTTAGTTTTGAATTGTGTTAAATATTCATTTAAGATAAAACAAAAAGGTACAAGTAGAAGAATCATTGAACAACATTTCATCTTGAGTAAAGATGTTTCATTTAATGATACAATTCACAGAGTAAAACCTTATACAATTTCAAAAAACACTATGAATTTCAAAATTTATGAAAGCTGCAAGAAACAGCAGTTTAAACACATGTATTGTATAGTTATAGACTGCACATTATCTGATAGATATACTAAATACCATCCATCGGAATGCCGAAAATCCGAAAACGGTCACAACACTGGTGGCTACAGATTTCAGCAAAGCTTTCGACAGGATTTATCATGGACTAACGGTTAGGAAACTACTCGAAATGGGGGCATCCCCGTCTTTGGTGGCATGGATTTCCAGCTTCCTTTCCAATCGAGAACAATGTGTGCGCTACATGTCACAGCTCTCTGACTGGATGGAGTCTCATCAGGTGCCCCACAGGGCACTCGACTTGGGCCGCTTATCTTTCTCTGCATTATCAACGACGTGTTCAAGGACAGTGATGTTCAGTGTTGGAAATACGTCGACGACCTCTCCCTGCTTGAATGTAGGAAGGCAACGGATCAACCCAAAATCCAAGAAGTGGTAAATGAACTTGAGAAATGGACCAAAGACAATAGCATGAAACTGAACCCTAGCAAAATGTGTCGTCATAAACATTCAGTTCATGAGAAACCAGGCAATCGTCCCAAAGGTAAAAATTGGTGACCTGGTAATGAGTGAAGTACAACTAGTTAAACTTTTGGGTGTGTTTGTACAGGAGGACTTAAAATGGTCATATCATGTCACAGAAATGGTCAAGGTGGCAAGCATGAGGCTGCACATGATGCGTATCTTGAAAGGTTTTCGGCTACCTGTTGAGGATCTGAAAGTTGTGTATTGTTCGTACGTGCGCCCGAAAGTCGAATACTGCATTCAGGTCTGACTTGGGCAGACAAGAAACTGATAGAGAGAATTCAGAAACGAGCGTGTCGCCTCATGCTTGGCCAAAGATACACGAGTTATGATGATGCCCTCAATGTTCTTGACCTTCCCACACTGGAGGAGAGGAGGGAAAGGTTAACGTATAAAACCCCTGAGCTTCTGAGGGCTTTGCCCCCGGACCCCAAGCCAATTCGTGACCTGGCAGTGTCACAACTAGGGCATAAAAGCATGCTCATCTGACAGTTATTTATTGCCCAAAACCTCTGAACTTCCGGGGCTCCTCCCCTGGACCCTTCGCCAATTCGCGACCTCCCAGTGTCACCAAATAAGGTATAAAAGCATGCTCATCTGACAGTTATTAATTGCCCCAAACCCCTAAACTTGCCTAAACTGACGATAATTTATTTATAAAACCCCTGAGCTTCTTGGGGCTCCGCCCCCTGGACCCAACACAAATTTGTGTGCTGCCAGTGTAACAAATAGATATAAACATATGCTCATCTGACCGTTATTTATTGCCGAAAACCCCTGGGCTTCTTGGGGCTCCGCACCCTGGACCCCACGTCAATTCGTGACCTACCAGTGTCACAAATAAGGTGTACAATCTGCTCACCTGACGATAATTTAACGTATAAAAGGGTATAAAAGCATGCTCATCTGACAGTTATTTATTGCCCCAAACCCCTGAACTTCCTGGAGCTCCGCCCCCTGGACCCCACGCCAATTCGTAACCTGCCAGTGTCACAACTAAGGTATTAAATCATGTTCATCTGACACTAATTTATTGCCCAAAACCCCTGAACTTCCGAGGGTTCTGCCCCCTGGACCCCACGCCAATTCGTGACCTACCAGTGTCACAAATAAGGTATACAATATGCTCATCTGACGATAATGTTGGCTCAGTCAGTAGAGCGTCCGCCTCACAACCGGGAGGTCGTGGGTTCGAACCCCGGCCGCGTCATACCAAAAGACGTTAAAAGATGGGAGTTGTTGCTACCTTGTTTGGCGTTCAACAATAAGGGATAGAGCAACGTCGATCTGGCGCTGCTAAGTGGGCTGCCGGGCTCATGATCAATTGGGCAAAAGAGATTTTCCGTTTCGGCTTAATAAAATTTTGAGTGGACTATTAGGCTATTATTAGGTGGTCTGTCAACGACAGATCACCTATTGATTTCGCTAGAATTTTCTTTCTTTCTTTCTTTCTTTCTTTCTTTATTTTTATTTCTTCCGTACACTTTTTTGTGCACACGTTTACTCGAAATCGACATAGTCAATTTCCTTCAAATTTTTGTCAGTCATCAAGCCCTATGATTTCAAGTCTAATTTACTTTTTCAAGGTCATTAGGTCATCGTGACGTCATCCAGGCGCCATTTTGTAAACATCAGGTCATTATCATATCTCGATAACGAGTCATCAAAAATCAACCATATTTGGTATACATCAACTTCAGGTCAAAGGTCAACTAAAAATGTTAGCAAATTCCGCGCGCGCACCTCGACGCGCACGTACGCGCGCATTAAAATTTTAAAATGCTCAAATTCGTTCCAAATTAATTTTGCATACGTTTCAGGCCATTTTAAGCATTTTGCAAAAAAACGCGCGCACGCACATGCGCGCGCGTTTTCGCGCGTAATTGCATCTTCCAACATAGAATCGCCAAATTTTTTCTGTCATCATATTTGGCACATTTTTTCAAGCATTTTGATACCTTGTTCAACTGTTTCTGCCCATTAATAACGGAATGAGCGTCCGTTTAAGATAATTACCGTGCGCGCGAGCTTTTGTAATACATAGCATACATGGGCAAAAACATGCCTGTACAAAATCCATTGTAGCGCTTTAGGATGCAAGGTGACCCCAAGTTTTTTTTCATATTTTGATAGAGTATGAATCGGAGATATGATTTCATGTTTCATTTGACCCTCAATTAACTCATGACGTCATCATAATGGCCTCCGAACTCAAAATTTCAATTTTCATATTATGACGTCAGCAGATTTTTGGAAAATTGATTGTATCTCTGCAAATATTGATCAATTTTCTTTCAAATTTTGATATGTTCTACCTTAGAATATTCTCTACAAATGCAGTCACCACGATATTTCATTTTGACAAAGGCATCATGGCGTATTTTTGCGATTAAAGGAGGCATGTCAATCTTTTACATTTTGCGTGTATTCTCTACGGGACATGACTTTTTCTCAAAACTGGATTCTACATTCTTGTCTTTCGCGAGCAATATCTCCGTCGTTTTATCTTTGTTTACGCTGAGCTTTGAGTATGTTGTAGCTGAGACAATGAGCTATCAATGGTATGCCCTTTATCTTTCGATCAGATGCCGGGATCATGCTCATATTTCACGAACAAAGTGGGATTTGAGAACTATTTTCCGTTTACGTGTAATCTCCATGGGAAATGTTTTGGTATATCGGTAACGCACTTGACTTCCGACCTCGAGGTCCCTGGTTCGAGTCCGGGCGTCTCCAACAATTTTTTTTCTTGAATTTTGTTTTACTTTTTGACTTGTCAATGATCATGAAAATTGAAGACAGACCACCTAA